GGAATTTGGTCTCTCCAGGAGCACAGCGGCCTGAGCTGTTCCTGCTATCCTTAGAAGTGTCCAATTGAGAGGTTCCGTGACAGGCCTGGGTGATCTGCTGTGGTTTTCTATCACTCTTACGGTTAGAAAATGGTCTAATTTTTTAACCCGATTCTCCTGGGCAATTAAAGCCCTTTATTTCTGTCTGCTGGTCCTAACAGCTTCTCTTTCCTTAAAGCAGTTTGATCTCCTTAACCAAGACACGGTCTGTAAGATGCCTCCTTGATAAAGTTTCTGCAAAGCTTAGGTAAAGCGTCATCGTCCCTTCATATCTCCCATGTACCACTTGTATGTCTTATTTTGACTGCCTGGTCCCTGGGCATGTGGTGGAGGATTCACCTAAATAGAAAGCTACAGAAAAAATTTGGCCTTTCCCCTGGCAAAGGCCAAATCCGCCTGCTGCCGAAAAAATGGGATTATCCTTCACCCTGCCCCGTTGTTAGATTTAATATTTTGCGTGCATTTTGTGGGGKTTTATAAGGCAACACTGACAGCGCTGTGCCGGTCCCGAGGGTCCTGGTGCCTCCGTGGGCTGCGGGGCCAATGGTGCTTCCCAGCAGAGAGGAGGCTCYGAGCCAGGAATGCACCCAAAAAACCCCCTCGTTGTGTTCAGACAACGCGTAAGGCACAAACGGAGCTTGGCTGGCGAGGGGAAAACGTTTGTTGGGCAGGAACACAGCAAGTGTGGACATCAAAGTGTTTCTGGGGTAGGCTAATCTGCTTTCATAGATGTGATGGTGGGGTTAWGCCTTCTGCAGTGTTTATAAAAACAATACCGGGTTATCGGAGATGGGAGTTTTGGATGCGCCGGAAGGACRGCTTTGTTTTCTGCTGTCACATCTTTTTTTTGCTGTTGCCTGGAGAGAAGAGAAGGTTGAGGAAGAATCTGATCAATACATATAAATACCTGAAGAAGGAGTATAGGGAGGAAGGGGCCAAGCTCTTCTYGGTGGTGGCCAGTGACAGGACAAGGGGCAATGGGGACAAGTTGAACCCCAGGCAGCTCCATCTCCATGTGAGGAGGAACTTCCTTGGTGTGAGGGTGCCCGAGCCCTGGCCCAGGCTGCCCAGGGAGGCTCCTGCTCTGCAGATCTCCCAAACCCGCCGGGATGCACCCGGGTGCCCCGTGCTCTGGGTGTCCCTGTGGAGCAGGAGTTGGACTGGGTGATCCCTAGAGGTTCATTCCAAYCTCAGCCATCCTGAGATTCTGTGTGATCTTTGTTTTCCCCCTTCCCTGGGTACAGGGTGGCCTCCAGAGAGGCCTTCTCTCCAAAACCCCTGCAGGTCCCAGCTTCGTGTTGTCCTCAAGGGGCCCGCTTGAAGGCCGCTTTCGCCGGGTGCCGAAGGCAGCGTGGAAGGGTTTAGGAAGGGGAAAATCGGCACCGAAAACCCTGGGGCTGGGCAGGACCCGCGTCTGCCCTTCTCCTCCTGCCATCCATGTCTTCTCCCCGGCATTATCCCAGGGCTTTGACCCTCCTCAGAGGGCCGTTTTGCCCCAGACCCACGCGAGCCCCGAAGCTCCCGGCTCGCTCCCGTTTGACGCCGTYGCTCCTGCACCCTTCCCTCACCCTGGCTTCCCCTCGGCCTCCTTGCCGTCGCCATCCCCTTTCCGCAGGCTCCGGCCTCCCCTCGGCAGGGGCCTCGCGTGTTTTTAAGCGCAGCTTGCCTTATATTTTCCAATTTGTGCCTCAAACCGCTGAGGAAAAGCAGGCGCRGGCTGCATTCCTGTTGAAAAGCCCCTTCTGGTGGAGCGCAGCCCGTGACGAGCAGCTCCGCTTCTCCGGGGCGGTTTTCCCTGTGCCGCACATGCATCTGGTTTATGGTCCTTTTCTGGATACTGGTTTTTCCTTAAGTGCCCTGGAGGGCACCCGGATTCGGCCGTGGCAGGAGCCTCGCTGAGGCTGAGGTCTTTCCATTTGCAGCTGCTGCGAAACCAGCGTTATCCAGCCCCAAAATCACAATGTAAAAAAAAAAAAGGCTATTTCTGGAGCGTTTTTATACTATATTCCACTGAAGAGCCTGGTGGTAATGGGGTATTGCTCATAATTTGCTGAACTTCAGGTTGGGATGATTTATTCGAGGCTGAAAATGCACTTGGGGTGTGCAAGGTAGGTGCATCTAAATAGGAAAGCGGAGGCGGGAATCCTCCCAGAGCTACAAAATGAAAATCATTTTTTAATCAGAGAAATATTTCTGATTTAAAAAAGGGGAGAAAGAGGGAGGGAAAAAAAAAAGCTTTAACTTCCTCTTATTGATTGATCCTCTTATTGACCTGATTATTATATAGGGACCCTCTGTTTGAGACAGATCCAGGCCTCGCAAACTCGCCCTGACCCTTTCCCGGGGAGCTCTTGCACCACTCCTGCCGTTTCTTATTTTCTTCCCTCCCCTTTTGCTTTGCTCAGTAGTTAATTTGTTTATTACAAAAGTTAGAATGAGATTAAACAATCTGCTAATGCTTTTATGTAGCCTAATGAGAAGAAAATGTTGCTGGGGGATTCAAACCACTACAGAAGTTTCGGAGCGGGCTTGGAGGCGGGGGGGATGGAATCGGAGTCCGCAGCGGACGCAGGAATTTGTTCCACTTGTTAATTGGAAACACAGGCGGCCGCTGGTGTCCCCACCGTGTCCCCGCGCATTGTTCGGCYGCCCTTTTGTTGCGTCCCCGGGGAGGTCCCTCCTTGTCCTTGTCCTCGTCCTCATCCTCGGCTCTTGCTCCGGAGCTCCGGGACGGCTCCCGCYGGAGCATCCGGGCACCTGTGGGCGGCAGTGCCCTCGGGAATTCCAGCGGGATCCCCTGGGAAGCAGGACAGGCAGCCAGGCTCCCTCCCGCCTCGGGTCCCGGCTCCGCTTGCCCCRTTCCGAAGGACCGGGATTTGCAGTGGGAATGCCGCTGCGGAGCAGAGTGGGGCCTGCTCGGCCAGGGCCTTCCTGGAAAGGAGCTTGGGGACGTTTTGCTYTTTTTTTTCTTCTTTTTTTCCTTTTTTTTTTTTTTTTCTTCCCACTTGACCTTTTGAAAAACCCAAGTGGATTTTTAATGAGCGCCGAAATTGTGAAACTCGGTGATACAGTCCAAGAGCTCTTCAAAGCGTGTTTCTTATTTTGGGGGATTTTATTTTTTTTAAATGCACTCACCAAACACAACCATTTAGAAATCCAAGCCAGGGAGATCTGTTGGCGAGCACGGAGTTATCAATCGGAGAAACTGTCCCCCTCTCCAGAGTCACAAGGTCCATGCACGCAGGTCTGGCCACCCTCCTCGGCCTTCTAAGCAAAGGGTTTCCTCAGGCTCCAACACAACCATTTTCTTGAATATTGGAGGAAAARGGCAGCCCTGTGGATCGCTCACTATAGCATTCCCCTGATGCTGTGGATTTGCACCCAAAGAACCAAGTAGCCCAAAGCTGTTTTTTAATTTTTGTTTTCCTGACTTGATTATTGCTTTGTTGTGTGTTTGTTCCATTCGTAATCACAGATTAAGTTGCTCTTTGGAGAGACTCCTTTTTCTTTTCCGGATTTCTGGAGCATCTTGGGGATGACGAGGCAGTAAGTGGCTTGCCCGGTGCTGAGGATCCCCAAGAACCTGGTGCTCCAAGTAGGAAAGTTGTTGCTGGAAGTGCAGAGGAGAAGAGATGAGGTTCGGGAAAGGCACTGGAGAAAATTCCCCTGTATCCAGAGCAAGGTACTGGATTTTCCCAAGGTTTGGTAGCTGGGAAATGTGAAGCCTAATGCCCCAATCATGGGAGCCCTACAGAGGAGGAAAGACTTGACAATGTCTGTTTSCCCCCAACTTTTGCCCTCATCCCAGGTGGGTCCTTTTCCTGCAGGCCAGACCGGAGCAGCGCTGGGGAAGGAACCGGCATGTGAATAACAGCAGCTTCTGCAGCTTGCCTGGGCCGGAGCTGCGTCCCCGTGCTGGGCTGCAGGCTGGCCGGGCAGCGCTAGGTGGCACTCCGGGCCCGGCTTAAGGAGCTGGGCTTTGCTAGCCCGCCTCTGCGCTGCTTGCGCTCAACAGAGCCCTGCCATCCTGATCTAAGGAYAATTCTCTTGCTCCAAGGATGGTTCCCTCGCTCCGAGGACCTTTAGAGCCTCTTCTGCCTGTAGCACAAGGTGCTGAGGAATGCGACATTGGGACTCCACGCACTGTTGAACTGTGTGAGGAAGCCCTGGGTTRTTTTACACTGAGTTTTGCAAAGGCTTGAAGGTTCTGATGTCTTCATTCYTGCCCGTTTTCATTGAAAAATCCATTTTTTCCCTTCGCTTTCAGTCCTGTCTCGATAGTTTCTGGGTGACTCCGGAGATCGTTGTGGACACAGAAAGTGGAGGTCTTCAAAGTGGCTCATGGATGCAGGTTGCATCAGAAGGTCGCACCATGTGGGTGCTTTGGGCAGGAAGACTTGAGGTGTCTAGTAGGATTCCTGCAGCCCCGATCCCCCTGAAGCATCTCCTGCCACCACCACAAACAGTGGTTGTTTTTGACCCCTGTAGCTCGTTATGGGTCTGTTGTCCCCWCATCTTTCACTTTTAGTTGGTGGCTCCAGAGGTCTCTTCTGCAGAGGGCTGTCCCCTTGAAACCTGGAGGACACCTGCCTGGTTGTGGAGAGGTGCCCTGTGTGACAGCAGAAACCAACCTAACAGGTCCAGGATCCAAYGCAGAGTGGGAAGACTTTGCTCCAAGTTGTGCTTCTGGCTCATGGTTCTGCTGTGGCCAACCATGGTGGGATCTCTAAGGGAAGGCCAAGCTGGTGTTTGGCAGGTGCAAACAAGAGAAGGAAGGCTGGAGTGGAAGGAGCTGCAAACCTGGCCTTGGTGTCCGATTATGTCTAAGCGAAAGGCAGARCTCTCCTTTTCTGGTAGATTTTTTGGTTTGTTTGTTTTCAGTCCCAGGTTCTGGGTATTTCTTGTAAGCCACGACACTAACAGATACTGGGATGCTGACCCACACTGGCATCTTCTTCTAGGTCTGTCTATGATGGAGAGGAACACGGTCGTTTCATGGAAAAGCTGGAAGCGCGGATCAGAAACCACGATCGGGAGATTGAGAAAATGTGCAACTTCCATTACCAGGGCTTTGTGGATTCCATCACGGAGCTGCTCAAAGTCAGGGGAGAAGCCCAAAAACTGAAGGTAAGAGAAACCAAGTGAGYGTCTCCTTTTTCCAGAGCCCTTCCCTTCTCTCTTAAAACAGAACAGCAGCAAAACCCCCCTCCTGTCCCAGAGTACTAGGTTGCCCATTTAAGTTTAACAATTATTTTGGCCAACTGGAATGCTGTGACGTTGGAAGCACCAGAAGGATTAAGGCCAGGCCTGTTGTGCATTAGGAGACATGCTTTTCCTGGGGTACCTAATGGTGATTTCTTAAKCAAAAATGTACTGTGTAGTCCAGAGGATGTTCCTGAAGTCCTGTGGTGTTCCTGAAGTGCCCATTCCGGGTGCGACGCTCCCGGCATCGGTAATGCTGCCTGGGTCATCCCAGCAAACACATCCGACTGTGAGCACTGGGTACCTGCCAATGTTGGGCAGCCAACCATCAATATTTGAAAAGCCAAGGAGCTTCGGAGCACTGAGCAGGAAGGAACGGTGGTTCAGGGTAAATAAGGCTGCTGGGAATTGCTAGGAATGGAAATAAGGATGCTGGGAATTGCTATGTATGGAAGCACTGACCTGTGCAAGGTGCAGCTCCTTCCTTGAGCAGCAGCTTCGGTTTTGGATGTCTCAGCCTGAAGGTAAAGACTGGAGCTAGGGATGGGTTTTCTAGGGATCGGTTTTCCAGGTACCCTTTAGATCTGTGCAGAAGGGCGGGAGAAAGGACGTTTTCCTGTTTCTTTGCAAAGTGGTTGTGCACAGTGGGATGGGGGAAAAGCCATTTGTGGGATTGTGGATAAGCAGCGGGAAGGAAACCAGGCAGCGTCCTGGGGGAAAGGGCTGGAGATGGTAGGCTTCTGCTGCGAGGGGCCTTGCAATTTAAGTGTGGATACTGTGCCTTAAAAGCGGAGTATTGCCCAGCTTAGGGCACATTTAGAAGCAGAGCAGGGACTTAACCTGTGAGCTTCGGAGCCTGGAGACCATCCTGGTTTTCCCGGGGCAGATGGAGCAGAGGAAAGGCAGATTTTCCACACTGGAACGGGGTGCTCTGCAAGCTCCAACTGCACCCTGTGACCGTGGTTAGGAAAAGAAAATACTCCCCGTACCAAAGAGCAGCAAAGCCCAAACACTTGGCTATGGGCCTGGTTGTGGGGTGCCCAGAAAGGTGCAGGATGTGCCTGGAGAGCAGTGACGGTGACAACAGGAGGAAACGAAGTCCCAGGCAGGGCGAAAAGCCTCAGAAAAGCAGTTTTCCTGGAGGAGAATGAAGAGCTGTAGCTGAGCGGCGCTGCCTGCTCCTTCCCTGCGTTAACTCCAGCATTTCCAAGCAGAGCCTGGTCTTCCCAGGCTTCCCTGACCCCAGAGGAATCTGCCTTGCCCTGGCTTTGCCCAAGGAGAGGATTCATCCAGCGGCCGACTGCAAGACGCGACCATTGCAAGCACCGTGAAAGGAGCCCGTTTCTTCTTTCTCCCCCTCTTTTTTGTTCYCTCTCAGCTATTGTTTGTAGCCAAGAGCTCCACATTGTTTGTTTGCAAGGGCTTGGTGCTGTTTCCCATTCTGCAAGCAGCCACTTTGTTGGTGGCGCACTGTGAAGTCCATCTCTGTCCCCTCAGGATCTCTCTTGATTTCCATTGCTATGCGATCTATAAAACGGCACATGGGAAAAATACCCGCAGAAGCTCGTTTGAGAAATACGGAGGCCTCTTTGTGAGCGTTTCCCGGGAGAATCCTCCGTGGGCCCAGTGCTGAGTGTGGGGTTTCTTCCAGCTATTCATTCTGCATTTGATCTCGCTTTGCTCCAGAGCGCTGCGCTTTGAGCGAGCAGGGAACAACCGACGTGTCCAGGGTGCTGGGTACGGAGGGGAGAGGAGAAGTGRCGCTTGGGGGCCCCGAACCGAGCTCAAATCTGAGCAGATCTCGAGAACTCTTAAACCTTTCTTTTTGTGTTTAAACTTTCTGTCGTTCTTGGCCTCCTWAGGGCTAGCACAGAGCTGGGAATTCCTGCTTGGAATGAATGGATTTCTGCACTCGAAACCTTGTGCTGCTTTCCAGGGATGCTGGGCGATGATCTACGTGCTGAGAAAGGGCTGGGTTAAATGGAAAAGTGTGGGACATCTTCGGGAAGGCCTCTCCTGAATTTGAGTGATCTTAATCCAGAATATGTCCTTGAAGCCAAACCTATTTTTGAGGTTGCTTACTTAGCAAAACTACACTTGATTTTTTTTTTTTTTAACACACTTCTCATTTATGGGCTTTTGAAGGAAAATCTTGCTGCTTTTATTTATTTGTTTATTTGTTTATTCCATTGTGCATCTTGGATGTCCTCAAGCCTCGTGCTGCCCGGATGTTCTCCCTGACTGGGAAGCTCGGTGCTGAGCTGCTCTCGTCCTGCAAATCCCCAGGGCCCCGACACGGTGACCACYGGCATCCCGTGTACTTGTCCCATCTCCAGAAGGTTCTTGGAGGAATGGAGAGACACCAAGCGAGGTGTGGGGCTGGTGGCAAACCCAAGGGAAGGGCTTGTCCTCCCGTTCCAGGGAAGTTCTGCTTCAGCCGTGGTCTTGCCCATGGATTATTATCCAACCCCGTCTAATGCGAGCGTTCCCCTCTTATTACTGTCCTCTCAGCTCTAGGAAATTCTAGTTGAATCACTTTTTCCATCCTAAGCTTTAGCTGTACTAKTTTTTTCCCACCAATTGTGGCTGGAAAAGAGGGATTTTCTTCTTTCTGTGACAGCCGCCTCCAGTTCAGAGGTGTTTGTCACCTCCTCCCAACCTTGTTCTCTGTGGGATGAGTGGCCACCACCCATCCCAGAAGGTCGTGCTTTCTAGGCCCCTCTCTTGTTTTTCCTGCTCTGAAGTCTTTCTAGCTGGTAGGCTTGGGGATATATATATATAAAAATATCAGTTTTTTTAAGGGTGTTTTCCTTGGGACAGGTAAGTGGTCAAGAGGGACATGTGGAGCAGGGTTGTTGCACATCCTAGTGTGATGTTCGTATTTTTTTAGCAGCAGCAGCACAGTCTGTTTTCCAGTTGGATATATTGCAGTTGTGGGTCCTTTAGGAAAGAGCTGCTCTCCAGTTGCTTGTCCTGCTTCTTGTGTCTTATTCCCACCGAGTTTAGCACCTGCTGCTATTGAAGGGCAATAAATAAAAGGGCTTTTTTTGGAAAGACATCTGCAGTTCCAATCTGCTCTCCCAATGSATGTCCTGCCTCTGTGCTCCAAGTCCTAAAATCTCTGAGGTTGGGAGTGGGGAGGGAAAGGAGATGGGTTCACACCTTGCTGTGCTTGGCTGGCGATGGATCCTGAAACGCGGGTCCTGCTTGGAGGCCCTGCACTTGGATGCACAGGAGTTGGTGCATCCGTGCCCGGCGGGGCCGGGATTGCGCGTCCGTGCCCGGCGGGGCCGGGATTGCGCGTCCGTGCCCGGCGGGGCCGGGATTGCGCGTCCGTGCCCGGCAGCCTCCCCGCTGCCCTCCACTCTCCTCCCTCGCCGCTCCGCATGGCAGCGGGTGACGTGTGGGGGCTGCCCCGGCGCCCCCTCTTCCATGCCCTGTTTTTGGGGCACAAGGGAACGCGTTGGCRGGGGGAGCATCCCTGGCCTGGGCCATGGCCCCTGCCTGTCTGTCCCTCTGCCTTGGGTTAAAATCCCCCAAAAGCTCGGGACCTATGCAGAGACTGTGCAAATAGTCGGCTTTTCCCTCCCCTCCACAATGGATGTGGTTCCTGAGAACAAAACAAGGCACCTCCCACCCCCCGAAGCGCTCGGTGGGCGCGGGCAGGATGGATCCTTCCTTCTTGTCTTAGCCGGGATTGATATGTAATTTTAATAGAAGACTAGCACAGCCTTGGCATTGCTTTAGGAGCAGTTTTAAATTACCTTACACGGTTTCTTCTTTCCTGGTGGGATTTTCAGGATCTACGAAAATAAAATAATCTTTGGAAGGGATGCTGAACTCCYGCTCATAAAATCTTGGGACATCATAGAGGAAATGAGCAGTTTGGGCAGGCGGCCAGGAGGGCCGAGGCTACCGCGGCAGGGGGATCAACGCGGGTCAGATGCTGTACACGCAAGTTATACCTTAGATATTAATGTAAATACGTTACATCATGCACATAATGCATGGCTGCTATAGGGATGTGCTGGGAAGATCCACCTTGGAGCTGGCAGCTCGTCCCGCACTGCTCCAGCGCTGCAGCTGCTCCGGGCACCATCCCTAACTGCTGTTTCCTGGGTTATTGAGCGTTATGAGGAATTGTGTGGCCATGTGAGGAGGAATTTCCTTGGTGTGAGGTGCAGAGCCCTGGCCCAGGCTGCCCAGGGAGGCTCCTGCTCTGCAGATCTCCCAAACCCGCCTGGATGCGCCCGGGTGCCCCGTGCTCTGGGTGTCCCTGCTGGAGCAGGGGCTGCACTGGGTGATCCCTAGAGGTGCCTTCCAACCTCARCCATCCTGGGATTCTGTGTTTCTGTGATCCCTTAGCTCGGGATCAGTGCATCAGTRGGTGCTGCTGCCACGGCTGTCCAAACACCCTGTGTTTTTAGAGTCACCCTGAGGCTCAGAGCCCTAAGCCCCAGCTGCTGGGGTCCTGCCTRTCCAGGGGCACTCACAGTTTGCCAAGGGCAGGTGGTTGCACTTTGAGCCTTSATTTCTTTGGGAGATGCCCAGAGCGGGAGCTTCGAGCAGGCAGGTTAGCCAGGAAAATGTGGAATTTTTATAAAGGGCAGTGGGAAGCTGGAGGAGGGATCCCATGGGAGACCCATCTTTAGACCTGAGAGAAATACTTGAACTTYTTGGGAAAAACACGCACTGAAGACATCATTTCTTGCCGAGGCATCAGGGATTTGAAACCTAATTATAATTTATTTGATTGCAGGGAGGGGGAGTTTCATTCCATGAGACTTGTATCCTATCTCTCCCATGGGAATAGAATAATTTTTAAGCTGCAAATCCACGTGGGCACCTGCTTCACATTTAGTCTGTCCAGACTGCAGCTTGCTGAGGCTGCTGTAGTAGCAAGGACAGAGATCTGCCCGTGGCACCTTTGTGTTTGCAGGGCTGCTGGTGACACCCCTCAGTGCAKCAGGCTGATGGCAATTAAATGAGCTCATCAAGGGTGCCAGACAACATTGTGTGAAAAGTATTAAAAAAAAATGCATTATCCTGGTTTATGTCTCTTCTTTACTCTTTCTCCTTGCGCCTTCTGCAGAACCAGGTGACCGACACCAACCGAAAGCTGCAGAACGAAGGGAAAGAAGTAAGTGCTGCCTCCATCCTGCCCTCTCCCTTTGCTCCTTTTCCTGCTCCGGGGAGGGGTAGCAAAATATTCCACTGTTTTGGAATTCCACTGTTTTATCTGTTGGATTTGCCTCCAAAAGCAGAGGTCTGGGATTTTCACAAGGGCTTTCCAAAGCCGGGCTTTGGAAACAGCATCAAACACGTGGGTGCAGTGGCTGGCAAAGCTCTGAGCAGCCCCTTTCAAACAAGGAAAGCCAAGTATTTTCCCTTGCAAGCGATGCCTGATCCTTGCTCTGCCCTTATCCAGATGTGCAGGTTTTCTGTTGAAGGCTGAGGGGGTTTAAAAATCTCTGCTTCTGAGGGTAGGAATTCCTCTGGGAATGAGCGGCCACATCCCRTCTTTGGGAAGAACTAGAAAAGAGGAGCTGGGAGAGGGAGTAGGAAAAAAAGAGATGARTAAGATGGGAAGGGGAAGTCACTTTTGGAATTTGCAGGACGTGCTGCAAGGCTGGTGTTTTTTTTGCTGCTTTTGGTTTTGCTGCTTGCTTTAAATTAGAGTAGAGGACGTGTCTGCTGCTGGGTTACCCACCCCGAGCGTGCAGCCCCTTTGCAGCCCCGCTCCAGTGCTCAGTGAGCTCCACGCTCAATCAGAGGAGGCTCTGTTGCCACATGACCCTTTGGATGTTCATGGCACGTGCCAGGCAGCTCCTAYGCTCCCTGCTCTGCCTGTTTACTCTTTTCCTTGTGTTTTCTTTCTCTCTCCAAAGCTGATAATAGCGATGGAGGAGCTGAAACAGTGCCGCCTGCAGCAGAGGAATATCTCGGCCACGGTTGATAAGCTGACACTGTGTCTTCCTGGTGAGGAATCTGGAATTGCTCTTTATTTGTACAGCTGTCTCTTTTTAACTYGGATCTCTCTGCTTTCTGCCTCTGTCTCACTGTTTGTGTATTTTTYTTGTCTTTGCAGTCCTGGAGATGTACAGCAAGCTGCGAGAGCAGATGAAATCCAAAAGGTAAATTCCATGAAGCCTGACGTTCACGCTGGCCGCGTTGAGAAGCCCCTCTTGGTGTTAGTTTAGTTAAACAAAGAGGTTCCCAAAACTTTAGGCTTGGAAATCAGCCTTCCCGAGTGAAGCTATGTGATTTTTTTGGCCACTGTCATCACAACAAGCTCGGCTGCCTCCGGTACAGGGTAGAACTGTGACTGCAGCAGCCTCCGATCTCTTTTGGTGTGAGGTTTCTTTGAGATGGATGTTCACTCTTTTTTCCCCCGAGGATGGTTGTTGTGACGGGCTTCCCCAGTCAGTGCCAGGTGCTCAGAACTGCTGCATTAACTGGCTTTCACCCTGGGAATGTCGTAGTGCAAAAGCTGCTGTTTTCTGGCAGAATCGAAGCCAGAGGCCCACGAAAGGTTGTGTGGTGGGGTAGAGAAGCTGCCGAGAAGGTAGGTGGTAGGTAGGATTAATTGGTGCTTGGAAATGAGCTGAGCTACAGGACTTGTCTTGGGAATCACGTCGTTGGATGCGATGCCGGTTCCAGCTGCCACCTGCCACATAATGCAGCACCAACCGTGCTGCAAATGGGGCCGTAAYGAGTTGGAATGGAGCATTTGAACCCAGCGTCTGTTCTGGGAATTGCCTCTTCCTCCTCAGTTTGTTTGTTTTGAAACACATGGAAGTTGAAAGCTACATGTCAGAGGAATCGGAGCCTTTGCCTTTTAATGCTCTTTCCTCCCCTCCTCTTTGCCTTGATTTGGTGGCTTCATTCACCACGTGCAGCACAGGGGTTAAACACCCGTGTGTCTGCCCYGGCTCTCACCTAACATCCTTCCCGATGGCCGGCGAGGGCACGAGAGGCTTTGCAGCGCCCTGGGAAGCACCCGGCCCTCCCAGGGCGGCCGACGTGACGTGACTCGGGTGCCGTCCGCGGGCGTTTGCCAGGCACAGCACCCGTTCTGCAGGAGAGGTGCRAGGGAAACGGGAGCGTCTCGGGAATGTGCAGGGCTGGGAGGTGCTGGAGCTCAGCAAAGGGGCGCAGGAGCAGCGAGGACCGTGTTGGAGAGGTCCCTGTGGCCCAAAGCACGAGGGCAACTGGTCTTTCCTGAGCTCTGAATTTGGGCATGGATCTCATCAGGGAACAGGCGCCGTCCCCACAGGCTGCGTTTTAGCTTCTGCTTCAACAAACAACGTCCCAAAAGGCATCAACCCCCCTCGGTGTGTTTATTCATCCGGTTTAATTTCTGGCTTTCTGCCTCCCCTTTAAGTTCCTCTCCAGAGGGGRTTGCCTGTTATTGCAAATAACTTTTTTGTACCCCTCTTCAGCGTAGACAGTGACTGGGCTGCAGGATTAAGCCCTTGGACTTGCCGTGATCTCAACAGGCCGGGCACCTTCTGCTTGAAACAACTTTCCCCTGGGCTTGGTGGGAATTTAGGAAGAATGGCCTTGCATTGGGATTCGGATGCCAGGCTTTTCCAGGGATATGTTTCTTGTGAGCAAACTTATTCCCTAGCCCTGCCAGCTTTGGGGTGTCCCTGGCAGGGGATCACAGCCAGAATGATCCATGCTTCATTCCTTCTCTCCGGTGTTGCTTTGAAGAAGGTCATGTCCTTTCCCAATGGAGTCGTCTGAGCTAAATTTGCCGTAATTTGCCCTAGAGGAGCCTGTGACCTAATGTTCACCATAAACATATTTCTGTAGACCCCGTTGACAGGGTTGAAGGGCTTCCGTTGAGGTTTCCCTTCCCTTGGGCAAAGCTTCCTCAGCTGCCTCCCGTTTTGTTTTCCCTTTCCCCAAAACCTTGCTGGAATAATGTCAGCGTACTTGCATCAAGTGCACCCAAGTCCAGCAGTTCACATACCCTTTCCTGGGAAAGGAGCAGGGAAAGGAGGCCGGGAGGACCTTGATGCTCTTCCACGGCCCCCTAAGCTCTACATTCCTTGCTGCAGAGCTGAAACCCTGGAGTGTATTGAATTATTTCCTGTCCACATGTGCTTTGGAGGGGAGATTCCAGGGAAGTAGCTGTTGGTTCTGCTGCATCTGCCTCGCTTGCTTTGCCCAGGCATTACCCTGCGCTGAAGACCCTGGAGCACCTGGAGCACACGTACCTGCCCCGCGTGAGCCACTACCGCTTCTGCAAGGTCATGGTGGACAACATTCCCAAGCTGCGCGAGGAGATCAAGGAGGTTTCCATGTCGGACCTCAAGGATTTCCTGGAGAGCATCCGCAAGCACTCGGACAAGATTGGAGAGACGGCAATGAAACAGGTAGGGACTTGGGGAAGCTGCGTAGGGCTCGTTTTCCATAAATACATATTA